AACAACTACAAGATCAGGTGCTTGTGCAACAAGGTAGTCCACCTGCATTTTAATAACCTCCTGCACTGAATGTGGCAAGCAGGCATCCTATCTCCCTCCATTCTCACTTAGCCTGCAAAGTATCTGGTGCTATATGCTCCATAACAAGTAGTGGGATTAGTGACAAGGGATGGCTTTCTCCAACAAGCGAGTGGTAGAGTCTTATTTTCTAAAGGAAAGTATTACTAAAACCAAGCAGTTCTTTTGGATTTTTCCTATTTTATCAAACCACCAACAATTTAACGCTTCTGCTTGTTACTTAACTGCACTTTTTTATGTACCATTTTTCAAAATATGGAAGAGTCATTTCTCAGAAACTTTAGGAGTCTAGATGGATACTATGTGGGAAAAAATCAGGTAATAGGTAAATTTATCTCAATTTATTAACGGCAAAAGAAGTAGCCAAGAATTTCTGAAAGTTAGACAAATCAGATGAATTTATAGAGAAAGAAAAATGCATACTGCCACAGAATCCAGTATACAAAACTTAGAAAAGTGATTTCTTTTTTTTGCTTTTTTAAAAAATTGATTATGCCATTAGATTTGTTCTATTCCCCCATTCCCCTCCACTCTGCACACCCCTCCCCCCATTCCCCCCTTTAGTTCATGAACACGTGTCTCAAGTTCTTTACATTCTGTATTTCCCCTACTATTCTTACCCTCCCCCTATCTATTTTCTATCTACTGTCTGTGCTACTTATGTTCTGTACCTTCTCCCCCCTTCTCCTTATCCCACTCCCCTGTTGCTAATCCTCCATGTGATCTTCATTTCTATGGTTCACTCCTGATCTAGCTGTCCTCTCAGTTTGCTTTTGTTTTAGGTGTGGTTGTTAATAACTGTGAGTTTGCTGTCATTTCACTGTTCATCTTTTTTATCTTCTTTTTCTTAGGTAAGTCCCTTTAACATTTCATATAATAAGGGCTTGGTGATGATGAACTCCTTGAATTTGGTCTTATCTGAGAAGCACTTTATCTGTCCTTCCATTCTAAATGAAAGCTTTGCTGGATAGAGTAATCTTGGTTGTAGGTCTTTGGTTTTCATGACTTGGAATACCTCTTTCTAGCCCCTTCTTGCCTGTGAGGTCTCTTTTGAGAAATCCACTGACAGTCTGATGGGAACTCCTTTGTAGGTGACAGTCCCCTTATCTCTTGCTGCTTCTAGGTTTCTCTCCTTCATTTTAATCTTGGGTAATGTAATGATGATGTGCCTTGGTGTGTTTCTTCTTGGGTCCAACTTCTTTGGGACTCTCTGAGCTTCCTGGATTTCCTGGAAGTCTATTTCCTTTGCCAGATTGGGGAAGTTCTCTTTTATTATTTGTTCAAATAAGTTTTCCACTCATGACTGTTCCTCTTCCCCTTCTGGTACCCCTATAATTCAGATGTTGAAGCATTTAAAGATGTCCTGGAGATTCCTTAGCCTCTCCTCATTTTTTGGAATTCTTGTTTCTTCATTCTTTTCTGTTTGGACATGTTTTCCTTCCTTCTGGTCTACTCCCTTGATTTGAGTCCCAATTTCCTTTCCATTACTATTGGTTTCCTGTGCAATTCCCTTCATTTCAATTAGTTTAGCCTTCATATGTTCCTCTAATTTGTGACTAAAATCAACCAGTTCTGTGAGGATCCTGATCACCAGTGTTTTGAACTGTGCATCTGAAAGTTTGGCTATTTCTTCATTGCTTAGATTTATCAGCTCTGGGGCTCTGAGTTGTTCTTGAGCCATGTTTTGATCTGTTTGTGCCTATTTCGTATGAGGAGCGGAGCCTTAGTTGTTTACTAGGGCAGGGCCTCCCGGGTCGCTGGTTTGTGAGGCTGTATGTGGGGGCAGGGTCAGAGAGGGAGCAATGGCGATCCTCTCTGCTTGCCCAGTCCATCCCACCACTCACCCCACCTGTTTATCTGAGTGGAAATGTGCGGTCTCAATGCTTGCCTCTTCACTGGTTTGTCTGCATACAAATGCTCTACTGACCACAGCCAGCCAGCCGCATCTCTTCCATGTGTCTGCAGGTAGCTAGCCCTGGGATCCATGTTTTTGGCTGCCTGTGCACCACCCCTGTAGGGGATCTTTTTACCCAACCCTCTTCGCTGCTGGCTTCACCCCTCTTACTGGTTTAGCTGAGCATTTCGTTGTTTTTGGACTCCGTATTATTGATTTTCTGTGTGGTTTGGTTGCATTTATTATTGTTAAAACTTTATTGTTTTTAGAATTGGTTGTGCGAGGATGCAAGGTGTTTCTACCTACGCCTCCCTCCATTTTGGCGGAAGTCCTGATTTCTTAATTAAGAATATTATTACTTTGGTTGAAACATGGTGATTTTTTTCCTTTACATTATATACTTATATAAAAGACATCTAAATAATTTAGTACTTACAGATTATACATACAATGAAGGTTCATCTTTAGTGTGATATGGCATATCGAAAGGTTCTGTTGTTGCTGTAATTGTCTATGTTCAGTTGCAAAGATGATTTTAAGACCAGGAGTCCTTTCTGCATTACTTACAGATCCTTAAAATTAAGCACAAGGGAAAACTGTCTTGACCTATTCAAACAACAACAAAAAAGAAGTCTGTTAAAAAGAAATTGGGAGACCTTTTTAAGTAATAAATTACCAACCTTAAGCGTTTTATGGAAATTACAGTTTTAAATAAAATTGGGCCTTGAGAACAATAAAAGTGTTTTGCAGGAAAAAAGATGATTAAAATATGCAATCATGGTATAAATTTGCATTTATGATGTTTGTTTTTGCTGTTGGTGTTTATTATTTTAAAATGGGAAAAGCCAATCTCTTTCTGAAGCCATGAGAGAAAATGATCTCTGGTGAACAGAGTAAGAGTATTTGTTAGCAGATCTTCATCTTATAGTTAGAGCAGAACTTGAATCTGAAAAGCTGGGTTAGGAGGCTTGGTCACCAACAAATATGTTTGTTTAGGTTCACAGTCCATTACTATCTGAAGCAATGTCAGCGAGTGGTTTAGGGTTCTCTTTATATGAGAGCAGTGGAACTCAGTGAGTGCCATGGACTGAATGTTTGTTTCTCCCTAGAATTCATATGTTGAAAGCCTAACTACCAATGTGATGGTACAAGTGACCCTTGAACAACATGAGTTTGAAATGCACAGATCCACTTATACATGGATTTTTTCCAATAAATATGTACAGTGCTATAAATGTATTTTCTTTATGAAAAATTACATTCGGCTTACTTCATTGTAAGAATATAGTATATAACACATATGTGTAACATACAAAATATGTGTTAATTGACTATGTTCTTGATAAGGATTCAGGTTAACAGTAGGTTGTTAGTAGTTAAGTTTTCAGGGAGTCGAAAGTTATACAAGGGTTTTCAACAGAGTTGGGAGTCCATGCCCCTAATTCCTTTATTCAAAAGTCAACTGTATTTAGAGATGAATAACGATTAGGGCTAGATAAGGGTGGGGACCTTATAATGGGATTAGTATCCTTCTAAAAAGAGAGTGGAGTTCTCTCACTGTCTCTCTCTTCCTCCCTTGCCTCCCCTTAATCCCCAACCCATTGTGAAGATGCAGCAAGAAGACTGCTCTCTCCAGGAATGGAATCAGTGTGCACCTTGATTTTAAACTTCGAAGCCTCCAGAACTGTGAGAAATAAATTTCTGTTTTTAAGACATCTAGTCTTTAATATTTTGTTTAGCAGCCTAAGTTGACTAAGATAGTGAGATTAGATGAAATAGAGCTAACACTTTAGGTTGGATAAGGAAGGTGATTTTTTAGGGCCTATTGGTATCAATCTGTCTCTAAATTTTATAATGCTTAACATAGATGTTATGATTAAAATAGTGCTTGCTTTACAAATATTACTTGTGAGGGAAAATATTTCATATATATACATTTTCACTCCATTTTCCATGCTTGTAGAGAAACACAGTTTTGATCAAATGAACATGTCCTGGTATTACCCTTTACCTTCCAGTGTCTTCTGTGATTTTTAAACAGTGAAGTCAGAAAGAAACAAAAGACCCTTAAAAGGCAAATATTGTAAACACAGATCTAAGCAGTGACTGGCCTGAAGATTGCCTTATAAGTTATTTTAGTATTCCATCATATGGTTTCTGACATTTAAAATTTCCTTTACTTTAAAACTGAAGCCAAAGTATAGAACAAGGGTGTCAAACGCATTTTCACTAGGGGCACATCAGCTTCACAGTTGCCTTCAAAAGCCAGAATGTAATTTCAACTCCTTAACAGTTAAGGAATACTTACATTTATACAATCCTAAAATTACTTCAACCCTTTGAAGGCAATTGCAAGGCTGATGTGGCCCCCGGTGAAAATGAATTTGACACCCCTGGAATAGGGGATTTTATAAAGGGTCTTAAGGATTTCACAGTACCAATGTATTCAATATTTTATCAGAACATAATTTGGGCTGGGTGTGAGGACAGACTATTTTCATTAGTTTTTTAAGCAAAATCGTAAATTCATAAATATTTATAATATGAAAATTAATGTGAATATTGGGGGAGTGGGTGTGGGAGTATAGGCAATGTGAACACAGTTGACTGAAAGGGAAACATGTAGTCAGAACACATATGACTATAGAAGAGTTGCTGAGCACAGGGACCATTTTCCTTTCCTGCTTCTGCTGGCTTGGCCTCCCCATTTCAACTCAGATTTGGCTCCTGTTGGTTTTCACATCCTGTCTGTTTATGACTGTCTACTGCTACATAGACTACCTTTCAGAATTCTGGCTACTCTTCCCAGAGGCAGCCTTGAAGTTCTTTGACTCCAGGTAGTTTCCCTCACCCTGTGGGTGGTTAGTTTCCTAAGACAGGAACCTCTGCATTCACAGGTTGGGTCTTGAGGCCTGGGTTTTGTGTTTAGACCCTCATTGAAGGTCTGTATCTTCTTCTTCCACTTCCCTGCAAGGGTGCAGATCCCTTTCTGTTGAAGCAGGGCCATGAAATGCTACAAGATTTTTTAAAAAATATGGAACACTTCACAAATTTGCATATCACTCTTGTGCAGAGGACATACTAATCTCTATTGTTCCAATTTTAGTATATGTGCTGCTGAAGTAAGCACAGCACAAGATTTTTTATAGACTCCAGCTTTTATTGTCCCTGTATAAGAGCTTGTGTGGCTGCCCCTGTGGTTCAATATCTGTACCATCTCTGGCACCTCCTCCCTTCTTTGCTTCTCAGTGGTTTCTTGTCTTTTGCCACCAGGGCCCTTCTTCCTGACCCTGGCTACCCTGAAAGTTGAAAGCATGAGACTTGGTCTAATGTTCCAAAAGCATCTTGTACTTCCTGTGACAAAGGACCATTGCCATACCTACCTCCTTAAGCTCCCTCAGAGGACATCAGCTCTCTAATCTCTCGTGTCATCTAATGTGTGCTTAATGTATTAGAGGCATCTTGGCACCATTCAGAATGGTTTGTCAGTTGAAGAGAATAAATATGACAGTTAAATTCCTAAGCCTATAACTTGATTTTAAGATCAGAAGAAGAAACTGAGGTGAAACTAAAACAAATCAGTGCTATTTAAGAGAAGTATTTTTTAGCACAGGGAGTATTAATTTTCAAAAGATCTCTGTGGTTATAAAAAAGGTTATTAAAAACAATTTAATAGCACTGGCTCCTGTAGCTCAGTGGATTGAACTACATAAAAATATAATGTAGTTTCTGGTTGCTGGAGATGAGTACTTTCTGTGTTCTTTGTGTGTTTTCTTTTCTGCAGGTGAAGTACAGGAGGACACTTGGATGTCATAAAGTCTGTCTCATCAAGTTATAGTAGCATAAGCTCATTATTGACAACTGTGATTATCTTTTATAAAAATGTATTTTGACTTAATAGCATGCTTTCACATGATGACATCATTAATGGTTCCTATTGCAGAAGATAAAATAAATGTTTTTCTCTGAAACTAAAGCATAGACTACTTTTAGATAAATCAGGATATAGCTATAAAATATAAAAGTGTCAGTCTTGCTATTAAATATTCCTTATTATATTAAACTCCATTAAAAACAAATGATAGAACATTTTCCTGTTATATTGACTGAGCTATGGTAACAGGATAACAGGTTTTTATTTACAAAGGACTGTTGAACTGCTTTCTCACCAGAGAATATGAGGGCAGATAGTAGAGCAATTCAAGAATATGAGTTAAATTCAGATTGGAAGCATTATTCACTCTCAACTTCAAGAGGAAAGAAACTGAAATTGCTCTGAAAGTTTAAGTATTTCATCTACCTGATTACATTTGTCCTGGATGGTGATGGCAAAAACTTGAGTGCATATTTTACAATAACCATTGTCACTCACTGGATTCTTATAAGGTCAGTGTTCCCAAAGCTCGCTGAACATCAGATTTACCCAAAATGCTTCTTATAAATCAGGGGTGTCAGACTCATTTTTACTGGGGACCATATTGGCCTCATGTTTTCTTCAAAGGGCCAAATGTAATTTTAGGATTGTATAAATGTAACTACTCCTTAACTAGGGACAAGGAGCTGGGCACTGCTGTCAGGTGGAAACAAGGTGCAGGGCTGGATATAACAAGATGGAGGGCTGGATCCAACCCGCGGGCCTTGTTTTTGTCACCTGTGTTATAAACAAAAATCCTGATTCCACTGCAGGTGGAATGAATCCAAATCTTTTGGGGCATGGTCTAGGTACATGCATTTTTTTTTATCTTTAGAGGGGAAGGGAAGGAGAGAGGGAGAGAAATATCAATGTATGGTTGCCTCTCATGTGTACCCTGCTGGGAACTGACCTGCAACCCAGGCATGTGCCCTGACTGGGAATCGAACCGCAATCGTGTGGTTTGTAGGCCCATGCTCAATCCACTTAGCTACACCAGCCAGGTAGGTACATGTATTTTTAACAAGTCTCATCTGGTGATGCTCATGTTCAGTCAAATTTGAAAACACTATTTCAGACTGTTAATATTCATACACCGTATGATATAGAACAGGAGAAAAAATGGCCATATGCATAAGTCATAATGAACTGACTTGGTTGTCATCATATGTGAGGTTTGGGCGTTATTATATGAAGATTATTCTCTTCTTGTGTGAGAAATTCTGCTATTTGAGATGACTATTTCTCTCTCTCTCTAGTTTTTTTTAGTGTATGTTAAATATCCTGGAAATATTGGGTTGGCCAAAAAGTTCATTGTTTTACAATTAGTGTATCCTTCATTTCTGACTGGACCTTTTTTATGCTGCTGAGGTCCTCACTAAGTTCCTTGAGCATCCTTGTAACCAGTGTTTTGAACTCTGCATCTTATAGATTGCTTATCTCCATTTTGTTTAGCTGTTTTTGTGGAGTTTTGATCTGTTCTTTTATTTGGGTCATGTTTCTTTGTCTCCTCATTTTGGCAGCCTCCCTGTGTTTGTTTCTATGTATTAAGGAGATCTTCTTTGAATCCATGTCTTTGTAGTGTGCCCTAGTGTAGTAGATGTCCTATGGGGTCCAATGGTACAGCTTCCCCTATCACCCAAGCTGGGTACTTGGGGTGCATACTTTGTATGGGCTGAGTATACCCTCCTCTTGCATTTGAGCCTTGGTTGCTGTTGACAGGTCAATGGGAGAGATTTACCCAGGCCAGTCAGCTAAAAGGACGGGCTATGACTACTGACCACAAATCTCTGCCCTCCTGGGAGAATCAACTATGCAGGGGTAGGATGGTGGTGTTCCAACATGGTCTGCAGCTGTCCACTGGGTGGGCTGGCCCTAGGGATTACCAGGTGGTTCAGATTGAAGTCAGCACCCACCTGTGTTTTGACTGGGGCATCCTGCTTGAGCTGTAAAGCAATCTGAGATGGGTACTACTTGTGCTGGGCTTGGAGATTCCCAGGTGAAGCCAAGCTGTGATTGTAATCTGGCTGCTGCCAGGGCTCACTGAAGCCAGCTGTTGCTTGTTTTATAGAATTTTGGGGCCAAGGTCAGCCATTATTATGGAAAAACAGCTTAAGTGGGCCCACAAGTTGGGTGGGGCTGAGCCTCTGTGGATCTCCAAGTAGGGTCACACAGTGTTAGCCAGGTTGATGGAGACTCAGATATGGCACCAGTCTACCAACTCTGTCTTGGAAGGGCTCGGCAAAGGAACAATGGCCTTTGCTCACCCCAATCCCAGAAAATTCAGGCTCTCCCTGTATACCACTGGTCCCCTTCAAGCTGCTACACTTGTGCTGGAGGTCAGAGGGAGTGAATCTGAGTAGGTGAGTCTGTGTATGGGTTCTACAAGAGGAACTGCTTGGGACTCCAGAAATTTCCTCCACCTACTCAATACCTGCTGGGTTTTGCAGCCAGAAGTTGTGGGGACTTATTTTCTTGGCACTGGAATCCTGGGCTGGAGAGCCTGGTGTGGGTCTGGAACTCCTTGCTCCCAAGTTATCCCTCCTGAAATTTTATCTATCACATGTGGTTGATGGGCCAGCCTGGTCTGCATCCAGATGCTCCTACCAGTCTGGATGGATGTGGTTTCTTTAATTCCATAGTTGTCAGACTTCCATTCAACTTGATTTTTGATGTTCCTGAGTGATGTTTGTTCTATATTTTAGTTGTAATTTTTAATCATGTTATATTGATTATGCTATTACAGTTTTTCCAATTTTTCTTTCTCCCCTTTATCACCCCTCCACCCTATACCCCCTACCCTCCAGTTCCCACCCCCCTTAGTTCATGTCCATGGATTGTACATATAAGTTGTTTGGCTTTTCTGTTTCCTATGCTATTCTTAACCTGCCCTCATTTATTTTATGCCTACCAATTATGCTTCCTATTCCTGGTACATGCCCCCTAATTATCTTCCTCCCCCACCCCACCAATAACCCTCCATGTGATCTTCATTTCTCTGATTCTGTTCCTGTTCTGGTTGTTTGCTTAGTTTTTGTTTTTTAGGTTTCATTGTTGATAGTTGTGAGTTTGTTGTCATTTTAATATTCATAGTTTTGGTCTTCTTTTTCTTAGATAAGTCCCTTTAATATTTCATATAAGAAGAGCTTGGTGATGATGAACTCCTGTAATTTGACCTTATCTGGGAAGCACTGTATCTTCCCTTTCATTCTAAATGAAAGCTTTACTGGATAGATTAATCTTGGATGTAAGTTCCTTGTCTTTCATGACTTCAAATATTTCTTTCCAGTCCCTTCTTGCCTGGAAGGGTTTTTTTGTTTGTTTGTTTGTTTGTTTAAGAAATCAGCTGATAGTCTTATGGGCACTCCTTTGTAGGTAAGTGTCTCCTTTCCTATTGCTGCTTTTAAGATTCTCTCATTTTTAATCTTTAGTAACTTAATTACAATGTGCCTTGGTGTGTTCCTCCTTGGGTCCAATATCTTTGGGACTCTGTGGGCTTCCTGAACTTCTTGGAAGTGTATTTCCTTCACCAGATTGAAGATGTTTTCCTTCATTATTTATTCAAGTAAAATTTCAACTACTTGCTCTTGTTCTCCTTCTGGTACCCCTATGATTTGGATGTTAGAGTGCTTAAAGTTGTCCTAGAGGTTCCTAAGCCTCACTTCATTTTTTTTAATTCTTGTTACTTCATTCTGTTCCAGTTGGATGTTCATTTCTTCCTTTCATTTCAAATCATTGATTTGAGTCCTGGTTTCATTCCTTTTACTGTTGGTTCCCTGTATATTTTGCTTTATTTCATTTTGTGTAACCTTCATTTCTTCCTTCAATTTGTGACTGAGCTCTGTCAGTTCTGTGAGAATCCTGCTTACCAGTGTTTTGAAGTCTGCATCAGATAGGTTCTCTATCCCCTTTTTGCTTAACTCTTTTTCTGGAGTTTTGATCTGTTCTTTCATTCTGGCCATTTTTTCCTCATCTCTGTGCACCTGTTCTGTTGTGAGGAGGCAGAGACTTAGGTACTCACCAGGATAGGGCAACCCTCTTTTCTGCATTGTGGCACTGTCTGTGGGGGGGGGGAGGTCAGAGGGAGAACAATACTGCTTGCTCACTCAGTCCACTGTAGCCCACTTTCCAACCAACTCTTCTGTGAGATTGGGAGTTTCTCCTACTGTCGCAATCCCCACAGTATTTTACAGCTAGAAGTTTTGAGTCTTTACTTACCC